TTGTGGGTATGTCTGGTCCAGCTGCAGCCTCGCATACAGCCGGCGTCTGTGCCAGTGCCTGGAGCTGCCTACCCCACCACAGCAGCCGGCATACCTGGCTGTGTGCAGTGGCCAGATCCCGTGCTGGCTCACTCACATACCCCTCACTGCTCTGCACCTGGCTCGTCCTTGTCAAGCATGGGATCCAGACTGGTAGCGCAAGCCGAGCAAAGCCTGCCAGGCCGAGTGGGCAGAATGAGCCCAGCAGGTGTGAACAAAACTCAAGCAGAGGTGCTGCCGGCCACAGAGGTTTCCAGCTGGCGAAGCTGCACGTGAAGGATCCTGTGACATTTTGGGATGAGTGAGTTCTCTGAATTCACAGGTGATCTGGTTGTTTAAAAGGGTGTGCACCACCCCCCCACCAACCAGTCCATCTCTTGCCATGTGACACTACTTGCTCTCCCTTTGCCTTCCACCATGATTATAATCTTTCTAGGATCTCACCAGTAAAGCCTGCAGAACTGTGAGCCAATTAAACTTCTTTTTAAAATAGATTACCCAGACTTAGGTATTTATAGCAACATGAAAACAGACTAACACATATACAATAGAGGGAAAAGACAAGCCATAAAATGGAAAAAGATATTTATAATATATAAAACCAAAAACAGCTTATATCCAGCATATGTAAAGAATGCTTACGTTTTAGTAAGAACAAGACAACCAAACAGGAATGACAAGACTTGAACAACTGGGTGCAGTGGCTCATGGCGGTTATCCCAGCACTTTGGGAGGCCCAGATGGGTGGTTCTCTTGAGCCCAAGGGTTCAAGACCAGCCTGGGCAACATGGCAAAACTCTGTCTCTACGAAGAAAGACATAAATTAGCTAGGTGACGTGGCATGTGCCTGTAGTCCTAGCTACTCAGGTGGCTGAGGTGGGAGGATTATTTGAGCCTGGGAGGTGGAGGTTGCTGTGAGCTGAGATCACACCATTGCACTCCAGCCTGGGTGACAGAGTGAGACCCTGTCTCAAAAAAAAAAACAAAACAAACAAACAAAAAACCCAAAAACAAAACAAAAAAAATTTAGACAAATTAAATTTAATAGAGTTTACTTGGTTAAAATGATTTGTGAATTGGGCAGACCCCTGAGCCAGAAGAGGTTCAGAGTGACTGTAGAGCTGCTATGCAGTCTGATAATATTTATGGATAGGAAAAGGAAAGTGATGTACAGAAAATGGAGGTGAGTTACTATATAGCGCATCCTCGACATAAGTAACGCCATCTTAGAAAAAGACCCCATCATATATTTATTTTTTTTGAGACGGAGTCTCGTTCCATTGCCCAGGCTGGAGTGCAGTGGCATGATCTCAGCTCACTGCAAGCTCTGCCTCTTGGGTTCACACCATTCTCCTGCCTCAGCCTCCCGAGTAGCTGGGACTACAGGCACCCGCCACCGCGCCTGACTCCTGTTTTGTATTTTTAGTAGAGATGGGGTTTCACTGTGTTAGCCAGGATGGTCTCAATCTCCTGACCTTGTGATCTGCCCAACTTGGCCTCCCAAAGGGCTGGGATTACAGGCATGAGCCACCGCGCCCAGCTCCATCATATATTTCAAAAGGCAAAATACCAACAAGGTACAGATGTTCACAGAGAGACAACCCCCAACCAGATAAGATTGTAACCCTTTACTATCAGCCCTCACCAGATGACTCAAACACTTTAGCAGGACTTGATCAGGTGTTGACGGCCATTTTAACAGATACTGTCTTTCTGTTACTCGTGGTCAGCACCTGGCTTTTGCCTTTGAAGGCTCTGCCCAAATCACAGACTTTTCCTTGAAAGATGTTGATGACTGGCTGGATTAGCTCAGGACATTCTGCTTGTCCATGTCACTCTCCTTGGACTGGTTTGTTAACCCCTTTTACTATTTTCTTTTCTCCTGACGTTAAATTTTACTTTGATGTGGAAATTTTAATCTATGACATTTACACATTAAGCATACCACTATGTATGTTTGCAATATTGACTGACTTGTGGATTGACTTGAGCCTGTGCCCCCATGGCTCTGACTAGAGTGAACGGGAAGTAATAAGAAGAATTGCCTGTTTGGTTACTCTATTAACATGGCTTTCATGACTGAATAAGCATCAGAAAAAGTTTGACCTTGTAGAAAGACACAAAAGTGCATGGACCTGGTTATGTTTGACCTTGTGCTGCTCATGACAGCTACAGAAACATCTGGGTTGGTTACAGCCTGGCAGTTGCCTTATTTGAATATGGTTTTAAGAGTTGGCCACCTATGATTGGCCAAAACTCTGATTAGCACAAAAGTAGGTTACAATTTGTTTATACATCCAGTCAGGTTACAGTTCACTATGTAGGAGAAACTTTTTTTTTTTTTTTTTTGAGATAGGGTTTTTTTGAGATACTCACTCTGTTGCCCAGGCTGGTGTGCAGTGGCATGATCACAGCTCACTGCAGTCTTGACCTCCCCAGCCTCAGATGATTCTCCCAACTCAGCCTCCTGAGTAGCTAGGACTACAGATATGCACCACCACACCTGGCTAATTTTCATATTTTTTGTAGAGATGGGGTTTTGCCATATTGCCCAGGCTGGTCTCAATCTCCTGGGCTCAAGCAATCTGCCCATCTCGGCCTCCGAAAGTGCTGTGATTACAGGTGTGAGCCACCACATCCGGCCTGCAAGAAACCTTTAGGCCCAAGTTAAAATACATAAGGATGCAGCTTCAGGCTACACTGAATCTAATAATGGATACACCTACTATCTGATTTAACCTCCATATCCACGTTCTAAGAGAAATATGCGTTATTTTCCTGAGGCTATGTGCTTAGTAAATGATAGTGTTGGAATTTGACCTTTAATCTTTTGGACCCCAACTGCCAATATTTTCATGTCATGTCAGTATAACAGAAATCCATTGAAGAATATCTGGATGTAATTCAGGAGAAGAGGAGGAATGTGAAATTTAAAAATGAAAAAGTGGCCAGGAGCGGTGGCTCAGGCCTGTAATTCTAGCACTTTGGGAGGGTGAGGTGGGTGGATTGGGAGTTCCTGAGGTCAGGAGTTCGAGACCAGCCTGATCAACATGGAGAAACTCCATCTCTACTAAAAATACAAAAATTAGCCAGGCGTGGTGGTGCATACCTGTAATCCCAGCTACTCAGGAGGCTGAGACAGGAAAATTGCTTGAACCTGGGAGGCGGAGGTTGCAGTGAGCTGAGATCGTACCACTGCACTCCAGCCTGGGCAACAAGAGTGAAACTCCATCTCAAAAAAAAAAAAAAAGATGAAAAGGTGCCAGGTGTGGTGGCTTATGCCTGCAATCCTAGCACTTTGGAAGGCTGAGGCAAGAGGATTGCTTGAGCCCAGAAGTTTGAGACCATCAGCCTCGGCAAAATTGTGAGACTCTGTCTCTACCAAAAAAAAATTAACTGGGCATGGTGATGCATGCCTGTGGTCCCACCTACTTGGGAGGCTGAGGTGGGAGGATTGCTTGGATCCAGGAGTTCAAGGCTGCAATGAATGTAAACCAAAAATACAATTCTAAGGCCTCCCCCACCATCTAAATGAACCTCTCCTCTCTGCCAAGGGCATGCCACAGTTAACCCAACAGGGCAGCCATTAAATCTTAAGGCTCCAAAATAATCTCCTTCAACTCTATGTCTCATATCCAGGATGCACTGATGCAAGAGGTGGGCTCCCAAGGCCTTGGGCAGCTGTTCCTGTGTGGCTCTGCAGGATACAGGCCCCGTGACTGCTTTCACAGGCTGGCATTGAGTGCCTGTGGCTTTTCCAGGTGCATGGTTCAAGCTGTTGGTGGATCTACCATTCTGGGTTCCGGAGAATGGTGGCTCTCTTCTCACAGCTCACTAGGCAGTGCACTAGTAGAGACTCTGTGTGGGGGCTCCAACCTCACATTTCCCCCTCTGTATTGCCGTAGTAGAGATTCTCCATGAGGGCTCTGCCCCTGCAGCAAACTTCTGCCTGGACATCCAAGAGTTTTCATACATCCTCTAAAATTTAGGTGGAGACTCCCAAAGCTTGACTCTTGTCTTCTGTGCACCCACAGGACCAACACCACATGGAAGCTTCCAAGGCTTGGGGCTTGTTCCCTCTGAAGCAATGACCCAAACTCTACCTTGATCCTTTTTAGCCATGGCTCGAGCTAGAGTGGCTAGGATGCAGGGTACCATGTCTTGAGGCTGCACAGAGAAACAGGGTCCTGGGCCCAGCCCATGAAGCCATTTTTCCCTCCTAGGCCTCTGGGCCTGTGATGGGAGGGGCAGCTGTGAGGATCTCTGAAATACCCTGGAGAAATTTTCCTTATTGTCTTGGCTATTAACATTTGGCCTCTCTTTACTTAAGCAAATTTTTATTGCCAGTGGCTTGAATTTCTCCCCACAAAATGGGTTTTTCTTTTCTATCACATGGTTAGGCTGCAAATTTTCCAAACTTTTATGCTCTGCTTCTGTTTTAAGCATAAGTTCCAATTTCAGACCATCCATTTGTGAACACGTATGACTGTATGCTTTCAGAAAAAGCTAGGTCACATCTTGAATGCTTTGCTGCTTGGAAATTTCTTCTGCCAGATACCCTAAATCATCTCTTTCAAGTTCAAAGTTCCACAGATCTCTAGGGCAGGGGCAAAATGCCACCAGTCTCTTTGCTAAGGCATAGCAAGAGTGGCCTTTGTTCTAGTTCTCAAGTTCCTCATCTCCATCTGAGACTAACTCAGCCTGGACTTCATTGTCCATATATCATACTATCAGCATTTTGGTAAAAACCATTCAACAAGTCTCTAGGAAGTTCCGAACTTTCCCACATCTTCCTGTCTTTTTCTGAGCCCTCCAAACTGTTCCAACCTCTGCCTATTATCCAGTTCCAAAGTGACTTCCACATTTTTAGGTATCTTTATAGCAGTACCCCCACTCCTGTTACCAATTTTCTATATTAGTCTGTTTTTACACTGCTATAAAGAACTACTTGAAACTGGATAATTTATAAGGAAAAGAGATTTAATTGATTCATAGTTCCGCATGGCTTGGGAGGCCTCAGTAAACTTACAATCATGGTGGAAGGCAAAGGGGAGCAAGGGGCATGTCTTCCTATATCATCTTCTATTACTGTTGTGCTTACAATCTGAGTGTATTACTGATGTTGCCAGTTGCAGAACCTGAATGTGTTTCCCACTTTTGCAACTCTTCTGCTTTTGTTGCTTATTTATCTGAGTATCTCGATCATTGAGGTTGTGCAATTGTAAAGACAGACGCAAATACGAAGAGAGGCACTTTGTTCCTCAAAGGCCTTTGGCTCTTTTTTTCTCTCCTATTTTTCAGAGACTTTTGTTCTGAAGCCTTTGGTTCTTGAATGAGAATTAAACATGTTTTTCTAGAGAGGAATGAATTCGAGATATTTGGGGCTGAGGTAGTGCAATCTTAATTCATTATATAATTTTCTAGAACTTTAACGCCAGTTTATTTAGAGCATGAACATTTATAAAAATCACATTAAAAAAGGGTAAGTGGGCGAGGGTGTCTTTCTCATTCATTGTGTACATACAGCTCAGAAAACCTGATCTCTAGGCTATAGCTCTAATTAAGTCCTTTTATATAACTGCAGAAGGAAGTTCTTGCATTGTGGGTCACTGAGAATACATTGAATCCCAGTCCACTATACAATTTATTGAAAATTGTAGAGATTTGAGTTAACAGTGCTAGTCTTTTGTGACTTGCAGAAATTAAACTGAGGAATGCTGTTTGTATTGGTAATTTGAGCATCTAAAAGAGCTGTCTCCTGGGGTGGGGGTGGGTGGCAGGGAGCTTAATTGTGTTGTGGCTGAATTTGGAGTTGCCACTGTCAAAAGTGTTTTAAGGCTTTTGTCCCAGAGAAAGACTTAAAATGCTTAAATGTCACTTGAACTGCACTCTATTCTAAACTTCTCAAGATTAGGATTAAACCAGTCAAGCTTGCCTATTATTGAGCTCTTTCTCACTTTACTTCAGAATTTTTGTTGCTTTGTAAAAATTAAAAATGGGGTATTACTCGAAGAAAAAAGGCTTGACTAATATTGTCTTTCTTAAAGCTCTTTTGTTGTTAGCAATAGAAATCCAGCACCACCTAGTTTAAGCCCAAAGCAGGATTTATCATAAAGCATATAAAGAGAGGCCCAGAACTCAAGGAGAGGAAAGTGTCCTAACTTCAGAATAGGGAGAACCAGGGCTTTGAACACAGGTGGGATGTTCCCTCTGGCTCTTATGTCTGGTTCTTTGAGCAGCTTGGCTGCATTATTAACTCACTGTGGAAGGGCTTTCTTGCTAGGTAGAAAAAAAACATGGCTCCCAAGTTACAACATCCATCCCAACCAACAGACTGGGTCCCAGCCCTCTCTTTGGTCCAATATTTGAGTCAAGTAGTGTAACAACTGTGGTCAGGAAACAGAGCAATGTTGCACTAAATCATTTCTTACAGGACTCATGTAACCTAGAGGTGCTCAAATTATTATCCGGGGATATCTAAGGCAAAATTAGAGTTTACCTGGTGTGACTGGGCAGGATAAGCCAAGGGAAGACTGAGGACAAGGAGATGAGGTTAGGGAGGTGGCTAACCATGGTTCATGCAAGTCCTTGATTGGTTAGGGTAAGATTCCAGAGCACAGTTGCCCAGTGGAAATGTAACATGGGCTGGGCATGGTGGTTAACTCCCGTAATCCTAACATTTTGGGAGGACGAGGCAGGTGGATTGCTTGAGGCCAGGAGTTCAAGATCAGCCCAGGCAATATGGTGAGACATGCCCCAGAGTTAGGAGGTGGGGCCTTTGGGAAACAATTAGATCATAACATAGCCCTCATGAATAGGATTACTGCCCTTATAAAAGAGGCCCCAGAGAGCTACCTTGTGGCTTCCATCATATGAAGACACAACCAGAACAAAGAAGTGGGCCCTCACTGGACATCAAATCTACCAGCACACTGATTTTGAATTTCTAGCATCCAGAACTGTAAGAAATACATTTCTGTCCTTTATAAGTCACCCAGTCTGTTATATTCTAACAGCCTGAACAGATTGAGAAAGTAACAGAAAGGAACAAAAGTAACTGACCTGCTTCTTCATATTCATAAGCATGAAAGGACAACCAAGGATCATAAGATGTTTGAATAAAACTAGCAGGTTCAAAATGAATTAAAAAAAAAAAATGTACCCTAGAAGAAACACAGATAGTTTATGGAATAGAGATAACTTTTTAAAAGTTCAGATTAATATTGTGAAAGAAATCTAAAGTGATAGCATCTATAAAATACTAACAGGTGACTGTAAAAGCAAAAAATAGTATGTTTTAAAACTATAATTCTAAAATAAAGCATGGGCTAGAAGAAAAAGTCAAGGAAATCTTGCAAAATGTAGAACAAGGGACAAAACGTTGATGAGTGAGAAAAAGGTTGAAAGACAGAGGTGACCCGCTAAGAAGGGCCAGTGTCCATCAATAAGAATTTTAGGTTGAGAACACAGAAAACAGAGAGAAGCAAATAAACAGGAATAGTGCTCCCAGAGCTAAAGAACTATGACTTCAGATAGAAAGGTCTTACCCACTGCTAATCCATATGAATGGAAAAATACCCATATCTAACAGTATCCTGGAGGAACTTCACAATTCCAAGGACAAAAAGGAATGCCTAAAAGATTCCCAAAAGGAAAAAAGAGGGCACTCCAGGGAATGACAACTATATTGGCATTTTATTTCTTATCAGCTCACTAGGTGCTGGAAAAGAAAGGAACAATGCCTTTTGAAAATCTCTGAAGGACAATGATTTTGAGCCCAGAGTTCTACAACCATTCAAATTAGCATTTAAATGGAAATCAAAATATATATATTTTGATTTCCAAGGACTGAGGAACTTTATCACCTACAAACCCTTCCCGAAAGAACTGCTTAAGGATGTACTACAGCAAAACGAAAAGAAATCTAAGGAAGAGGAAGATACCAGCTGCAGAAACAGAGCAATTCAAAGAAACCGTAGAGTGTTACTTGCGCAATAGGCCCCCAAAAGGAATAATGTGAAGACACAGAATCATTGTAGTGGATAAAGTTTTATTACAGTACTAAATTTAAAAATCACAGTATATTTACTTTTCCCTCAAGAGAGTCTGGGCACAGTGCATCATGCCTGTAATCCTAGTACTTTGGGAGGCTGAGACAAGAGCATGGCTTGAGCCCAGGAGTTTGACATCAGCCTGGGTGACACAGTGAGACCTGTCTCTACCAAAGAATAAGACAATTAGCCTTAGTGACAGATAATTACATCACCTTTTCTACCGGGTCCAAACACTCATTTGACCCTGCCATGAATATTTTTTATATCATCAGCAGACTACAGAAATTTGTTCTTGGTTTTCAGTGTTAAGAATTAACCTACAGACAATTTATGGAAGATTTAATTTGCATTAGAGAACAGTGTGCTATAAACTCTGCCAATGCCAGGACATGTTAAGAGGTATATAAAGTATAGGTAGAGAGGAAGACAAAGGGAAGGAGTAGGGGTGCCAAGCCCCTCAGCTTACCCAGCAGAAAAGAGATACTTAGTGTGAGGTGGGGTTGGGGCCCAGGGGAGGGTGGCAGGTGAGTTTAGGAGAGGATAGGACACATGGGTGGAAAGTGAGGTGAATGAGGGCTGGGAGGTTGCAGGGTGCACTGAGTGGAAAAGGCAGGGCAGAGCAGGGTGTGCTGAACGGAGAGAGTAGAGCAGAGCAGGGGTTGCAGGGTGGAAGGGGTGGTGCAGAGCAAGTGGTGCTGAGCAGAAGGGGTGGGGCAGAGCAGGGGGTGCTGGGCAGAAAAAGTGGGGTAGAACAGGGGGTGCTGCGCAGAAGAGGTGTGGCAGAGCAGAGTGCTAACTGGAAAAGGCAGTGCAGAACAAAGAGTGATGAGCGGAAGAGGTGGGGCAGAGCAGGGGGGTGCTGGGCGGAAGGGGCGGGGTAGGGGCGAGGGCAGAGCGCCCCCTCGTGGCTGGGGCGCCTGCGCAAACCAGCTGCCTCACGCTCACTGGAGCTCGCGTTGCTTGGCCGCACCTCACTTGTGCTGTCTTCGCCTGACTTTGTCTTACCTGACGCGATATGCCTCTCCTGCGTGGGCGCTGTCCTGTCCGCCGCCACTACCGCGACGTGGCCCTGCTTGGCCTGCAGCCGGCTCCCCGCTTCGCCCACTCGGAGCCCCCGCGCCAGCGGCCCCTTTCTGCCGCCGTGAGTTGAGACCCAGCCATCATGGCGGCGCGGACAGGGCGGGCGGGAAGCGCGTGGCGCAGGCAGGGTGCCCCGACGGATGGGAAGAAGGGAGGACGGGGCTTGCAGGCCTCGCGTGGGAGGCTCCTGTGGCTTGGCCGCCGTTGGGGGAGGTTCCTGGGAGAGGGTCGCAGTGAGGATGCTGTCGTCAGGCGCAGGGGCGGAAACCCCGGGACCCTGAGGGGCGCGCGGGGATTGGGCCTCCTTCGTTGTTGCCCTTTACCGGCACCTGGTTCAGGGGCGGGGCTATGGTTTCGCGGAGGAACGGTTTACCATCCTCGGACGTCCTCGGCACTGCCAAGATTTAATATTTTCGATAAAATGGTGGAAATCCTGGGCCGCATCGAAATGCCACAGTGCGAAAGTTGGAACCGGAGAACCGTTAGATGAAAAATGAATTGAAAAAAAAAATCAGGTGATCCATGAATCGATTTTCAGCATTTTAGATTTCACCAGGTCTCTGTTTCTAGGACAACGGTCTAGTTGCTCAAAATATTTTTTAAAGTACTTTTTGTTAGGCAGCAAGTTACTGGTCCAGGAAGCCATACTCAGCAGCGCATTTCATCTTCTCTTCCAGGAAATGGCTGTTGGACTTGTGGTGTTTTTTACGACCTTCTTAACACCCGCTGCATACGTGCTAGGCAACCTGAAGCAGTTCAGAAAGAATTAGATGGAAGAAGATGTTGAACAGCTGTTAACGTCCAAAAAACTTTCAGAAAAAGCTGTGTTTTTGTTAACGAGAGCAAGATTACCTAGTTGAGTGATGCAACTATTGTGATATTCACTTTCCTCTTGTTTATGATGAATATTTTGCACTTTTTTAGTACTGTGCATTATATAGATGTATAGTGAAAAATGTTCTGCTTAAGTGTTAAATAAAACAGAAACACTTATTTGTGCTTGGTAATATGTGTGCATATTATTTTCTAATAAACATCGTGCAAGCTGATGAAAATTTACTGAGAACTGCTGTGAAAGGTCAGACTTAGTGACTCAAGGAGTGACATTAAGCGTTACTGTATGGGAGTGAATGTATCTAGTGACATCACCCTTAAAAGATTAGTTGTAGAGCTGTGAGGTAATATAAGTTTAGCTAAATGGTTTTTATGTTCTATTAGTACTGCCGTGCCACACTTCACAATTTGCTGTGAGAAGTACAACCATTTCTTATCTTTGCCTCTTTAAATGACTACACTTCAGAAGGCGAAGAGTCAGTACATCTCCTATTTTATGTTCTCTTAGTCTTCTGTGAGGTTTGAAGAATCATACACATCTTTGAACTGTCTTAGCTGGTGATTATGCTGTTATCATGGGCAACATAGTTCAACTCTGAGCCTTGGTTTTCTTATCTCTGTAATGGGGACTTAAAATTGCTGTCTTGAAGGGATGTTATGGGAATAAAACATTGAAGAAAGAAAAAGTACCTCTCAACATAGTACCTGAAACAATAGTCAATAAATAGAAGTTATTGTTTGAGGATATACAAGGTTGCTAATATTCATTCATTCAACAAATACTGAATTCCTGTGATGTGCCAGTTATTGTGTGAGGTCAGTATACCCCAAATAGACTCCTTCCTTGTTTAGCTTACAGGTCTTAGAGGGCTAATGTTTCATTACTTTAGTATTTTTACATTTCTGTCTCAAAATTTATATTGATTTATTAGTCGATGTTCTCCATAGAAACAGAAAAAATAGGATGTGTATATATACACATTTATATATGGAGAGAGAGAGATTGGTTTATTTTAAGGAATTGGCTCATGGTTGTGGAAGCTGGCAGGTCCGAAATCTGCAGGACAGGCTGGTAGGCAGGAAGACACAGGAAGGAGTTGGAGTCCCAGTCTGAGGACAGTCTTCCGTCAGAATTCCCTTTTTGCTAAAGCCAGTCTTTAAAGCTTCCGACTGATTAGATGAGGTCCACCTACACTTTGAAGTACTATCTTCTTTACTCAAGGCCTACAGATTTAAATGTTAATCTCTTACAATCTTCACAGAAACACCTAAATAGTGTTTGACCAGATACCTGGGAACTGTGGCCTAGCCAAATTGACACAAAATTAACCAACACAATTGGATAAAATAATTTTTCAGAGTGAGAGCATGAAAAAGGTTGGTGATACCCCTGAAATGTAAAGGTGCGAGCACAGTGGCTAATCAAAATCTTAGCAGTTTCTTAAGATCTACCTTCGCTGTTCACTGGTTGCAAACCTGCTCCTAGGCCCTTTACGTGAACTCCCATCGGGACACAGGCTCAATCTTCTGATTTCTTGTATTCAGTGAGACCTTGCTTTTGCTGCGAATTTTGAACTTACTTTTTCCTTCTCTAACTCTGGTGGCTTTGTATTTCGACTTCTGATGCTTGCCTTCATGTGCTCCAAATTATGGCAAAAGACAGCTTTACCCTCCTAGCTGGGGAAAAATATTGAGCTATAGGAATCTTTTCCATAGAACTTTAGCACTTAGTGTTCTGAACTGTTTGACACTCAAGTTACTGAGTACTCTTATGCAATAATACTGTATATTGGAAAATGGTAACTTATTTTGATGAATGAACTCTGTTGCCCTGTCTCGTTAATTTTACACTCATAAAGGTGTCACATTCAAGGTACAGTTTGTTCTTGTTTGGGGTAGTTTTGTTCTATAAAGGCACTGTGAACACTGTATTAATGAATACTGAACTAGGGGAAATTCAGAGTTAAGTTCCTGTGGGCCTCTGGTCATAACATTTTTGTCAGCCTCTCAGTCTATAACTTATTTTATGTATGTTTCTTTTTAAAAACACCTTATTTAATATACAGATGCTCTTGGACTTAACAATGGGGCTACCTCCTCATAAACCCATTGTAAATTGAAAGTAGTGTAAATTGAAAATGCATTTAATCTGCCTAACCTGAATATCATAGCGTAGCCTAGCCTACCTTAAATGTGCTCAGAACACTTATAAATCAAGTGCTATTTTAAATGGAACCTATTTATAGTTTATGCACACATGCATAAACACAGACATACAATATGATACTTTGGTAGGTTCAAGAGTTGGGGGAGTCACATCTCTAATGTTACGCGTGATGTCAGCCTTCAATCGGCTGAGCTTCCTTATTCCACGGTTCCCACCACACCTTGACTTGACATCACTGAGATTTCTACTTCTTTCTTCTCCATAGGACCCTGCTATTTTTCCTTTTACTTATTGAACCTTATCTTTTTGTAGTATGTGAACTATTTTATTTTTATTTTATTTTTTTGAGACAGTGTCTCACTGTGTCGCCCAGGCTGGAGTGCAGTGGCACAATCATAGCTCACTGAAGCCTCGAACTCCTGGGCTCAAGTGATTTTCCCATGTAGGCTTCCCAAAGCTTTGGACTACAGGCATGAGCCACTGTGCCCAGCATATTCAACACTTTTTAACTCTGTTTGAAATCACCTTTGCCATAGTATCACACACTGTGGTTTGGCTGCTTCTTATTTCCCTACTATGAATTTGATAGTTCTTTCTTAGTCTTAGCCTTTCTTTTTTTTCTGTTGTAAAATGTATTCTTTCTTTATATTCTCATTCGTGTGAATAACTTCAGTTACCATATACTTGTTTACTCTCATATCAATCACCCTGTCCCATATCTTTCTCCTGAAATCCAGTTAATTATGTGTATTTGCTTAACATTTCCTCTTGGATATTGTATAGACACTTCAGATTTAAAAATCCAAACCTGAAACTTTTCTCTCCTCAAACCTGCTCTTCTTCCTGTGCACTGAGTGATTCATTCAATATTTGATCATGTTTGGGCACTTACTGTACACCACTGTACACTGTGCTAGGAACTGGATATATACTGAGGAACCAAAAAGACAAATTCAGTGCCCTAACTTGCTCTAGAAGAGGAGATAGACAAACATGTAGCCTTAAATACGTAATCATAAATAGGGTATGGAAAATAACCATGGGTCCTAACTTAAATTGGGGGAGGAGAGAGTCACAGAAGTTATGTTTGCTAACATGATATTTAAGTTAACCTGAAAGATAAATAGATGAAGAGTGGGGGGAAAACCCGAAAATTTTAGGGAGAAAGAACATCATATATGACACCCTGAGAGGGCCAATATCTTTTAACATTTTGTAGAATTGAAGAAAGCAATGTTTAAGGGTTTTGAGTGAGAAGGAAAGTGATATGAGAAGATGATGATGGGCAGGTGAGAGCCAAATCCTTACAGGCTGTGTTTTATGGACGTTTAAAGTTTTATTATAACTACAAGTTGAGTACCTCTAATTTGAAAATCTGAAATCCAAAATGCTCCAAGATCTGAAACTTATTGAGTGCTGACACGATGCTCAAAGGAAATGCTCATTGGAGATTTTGTATGTTTAGCTCATTGGAGCATTTCTGATTTTGGATTTTTAGCTTGGGGATGCTCAAGTGGTAAGTATAATGCACATATTTCAAAATTCAACAAAATTCAAAATCTGAAACCCTTCTGGTCCTAAGCATTTTTTTCTTTTTTTGAGACAGGATCTTATTCTGTCACCCAGGCTGGAATGTAGTGGTGCTGTCATGGCTTACTGCACCGTTGACATCCTGTTCTCAAGTGATCCTCTCACCTTAGTCCCTTGAATAGCTGGAACCACAGGCATGTGCCACCATGATCAACAAATTAAAACACTTTTTTTTTTTTTGTAGAGACGGGGTCTTGCTATGTTGCCCGGACTGGTGTTGATCTCCTGGGCTCAAGTAATCCTCCTGCCTTGATCTCCCAAAGTGCTGGGATTACAGGCATGAGGTACTACACCCAGCCCTAAGCATTTTGAATAAGAGATATTCAATCTATACAGGAAAAGGGTTTTCAGCAGGAAAGGGTTAGGATCTGGTTTTGGTAAGACAACCCAAGTACTTTATGAAAGTAAATACAATGAGAATTAGATCATGTTTGGCTTGAATCTCAAAAGTAAGCTAGTATGGTCATTTCAGTCACCAGAGATAGACAGGGAAGCCATCTTTGTCTTTACTGTAGCTCTAGTTTTACAGTCTTTTTTTTTTTTTTTTTGATGGAGTTTCGTTCTTGTCACCCAGGCTGGAGTGCAATGATGTGATCTCGACTCACTGCAACCTCCTTCTCCTGGGTTCAAGCAATTCTCCTGCCTCAGCCTCCTGAGTAGCTGGGATTACAGGTGCCTGCCACCATACCTGGCTAGTTTTTTTTTACCCCCAAGATGGAGCCCAGGCTGGAGTGCAGTGGCACATAATCAGCTCACTCACCACAACCTCCGTCTTCTGATCTCAAGCGGACTCTCCTGCCTCAGCCTCCCAAGTAGCTGGGATTATAGGTGCCTGCCACCACACCCAGCTAGTTTTTGTATTTTTAATAGAGACGGGGTTTCACCATGTTGGCCAGGCTGGTCTCGAACTCTTGATCTCGTGATCGGCCTGCCTTGGCCTCCCAAATTGCTGGGATTACAGGCGTGAGCCACCACACCCAGTCAGTTTTTTGTATTTTTAGTAGAGATGGGATTTCACCATATTGGCCAGGGTAGTCTTGAACTCCTGACCTCAAGTGATCCACCCGCCTTGGCCTCCCAAAATACTGGGATTACAGGTGTGAGCCACGGTGCCTGGTCTAATTTTACAGTCTTAATAATTTTACATTTTGAACTTCTCTTACATTGACCACCTCTTTCCATCCAGGTTCAGCTTCATCTCTTAACAACTCTTAACTGTTTTGCTAACTATGCTCTTGTTATAGTCAACTACTCATATTTTCATACCCCTATCTTATCAGTGCACCAGTTTTTCAGATTGCCTCTAGCCTTTACATAGGTAGCTAGTGTCTCTAAAACGCTTTTCTCCTTCTCCAGTTTCTACTTTGGCTTGGATAATTTTTACTCCTATTGCTCTCTCAACTCTCAGATTAAATG